CCTGTAATTAGTTCTGTACACTTTCCTTCACCAATCAATTATTCTTGCTCCTCAGTCATTCTTATTGCTCTTCTCTGAACTCCCACCAACTTCTCTTTAATGTTGGTAATGACCTAAATGCAAATTCCAGATGTGGGCTCACCAGATTCCTAAAGTGAAGGACTATTATCTCCCATCAAAATACATAATATGTGCATGGTGGGGGTTTTAAAGTGGATAGTTTAAAAATATTTCTGTTTGCCTAATTGCATCTTTTTTTTAATGGTTCATTGCTCGTGGCTTTTCATCAGCTGGACTGCAAGTATTATAGGTGTACCATGTACAGTGTAAAGAACGAGCAGTACTCATGGCACTGACTAACATGGCTACCACCCTGAAACATGTACAGTGTGTAACTTGCACTTTAATTTAGACCAGCTTTATATTGGCAGTCAGCACCTTATCAAAAGAGCACTTTGTTTTGTCTCCTTAGAAGTTCAAGGTTGGCAGTTATTGTGCTAGAGCGTTGTACTATTTGACTATAAAGTTTTTGGGGTTATTTTTTTATGTTCACTAACATTTCTTTTTTCCTAAGAGAAAAGTGTACGAGGAGATGATAAATCTGCAAGGGTTGTCTAAGCTGAGAATTCTGACAGGGCTTCAGATTACAGAAGTGTAGAAGACATTTTTCCTTGCCTGGTAGGGTAGCCATTGCTTGTGCTATAAGTGTGGTGGTCTGGGAGATCCTGAGCATGTAAATGTGTACTGTCGGTATTGATCAATGCAGATAGTCCACCACAAGATTTCTTAAATTCAAATCTACCTGGCAGTGTATAGCTACATGTGTTTTTTATAACTGATAAAAAGTAGAAGTATGCAGTTTCTTTCCTGGACTGAATTATGAATGTCTAACGCCAAGAGTTTATAACAGATGTTTGCAGATGCTTAAGCATGGGAGTGTGAACCAAGCTACTTCAACATTATATCATAACTCATTGTAAAAGTAGTTTGCTTTCCTCTTCTTATTTTGTGTTATGGAGGAACATAGTTAAGACTACATCAGACTTTTGCCTTTGGCAGAAACTTATACCTTCTTTAGAGTTGAAATGGTCGGTTGCTTTAGGAAGAAGTAAAGTGGACAGCACTCCATGAGGGGGGGTGTGAATTTTGAGAATATTTTGGTGCCTGGCAAGCATTCCTGGAAAAAGAAATAAACAGTAAAAATCACATTTTTTTCAGAAATTTTGCATAGTATGCCTCATCAAATTTTATATCCCTTTTACTCAAAAACCACACCGCCCACCAACTTCAAAATTCACACAAATGTCAACCACCCCCTCTTTTGAATTACAATCCAAGGCTTTCTGAAATCTTTTGGCCCTTCCAGTCAAAAATGACAATTTCTACTTAAGTAAAAAGAGCACGAAAAAGAAGCTGCTAAATTGGAGGGAGAGAGATTTTGCCCAGCAGCGGATTTAGAGTTAGTCGGGCCGTGTGCTCAGCTTCATTTTTGGGGCCCCTCGGGCCCAGCCAAGAAAAAGAACATTCTCTCATCTCCCTCCCCACCCCTGTTTTTCATTCTTTTTTTTTCTTCATCCTCCTCCTATAAGTAATAGGAAGTAAATGAAAATAAAGTGAGGTGCCTTGATTGTTTTTGTAGTCTAACTTATTTTTCCACAGATCACTTGAAAAATCGCTGAGGGTCTCGGCGGACCACTTAATGATCTTTCCAAATAAAGTTTGTACCGTTTGCTAACTATTGTAAAGCATTTTGGATAAGAGCACTTTTTTTTTAAATATATAAACATAAAAAATGTTGGGGTGTGGGGTCTGGCCAGGACTTAGGGTGCAGGAGGGGGCTCAAGGCTGGGAGTGCAGAGTCTTGGAGAAAGTTAGGGTGCAGGAGCAGGCTGGGGGTTGGGGTTCAGGGACTGGCCAGGAGTTAGAGTGTGGGAGAGTGCTCAGGGTTGGGGCAGGAGGGGGCACAGGGTTGGGGCAGGAGGTTGGGGCGTGGAGTGCTTACCTGGAGCAGCTCATATTTGGTGCAGGTGGGAATGTTGGGCGGTAGGACTGCAGGAGCTCCCATTTGTGCTCAGGGTGTGGGGGTTGCAGGAGTCAGGGCTTGGGGGGGCTGGGTATGTGTGTGTGGGGGGATGCAGGAGTCAGGGAGGGCAGGGGGCTGGGGATATGTGAGGGGGGATGCAGGAGTCAGGGCAGGTGGCTGGGGTCATGGGGGGGTTCACCTAGTGTGGAGTCTGGGACGGCAGGTGGCTGGGGGTGCATGCGTCATGGCTGGGAGTGTGTGTGGTGGGGGGTGCAGGAATCAGGGAGGGCAGGGGGCTGGGGACATGTGAAGGGGTGCAGGAGTCAGGGCTGGGGATGCAGGGTCTCGGAGGGAGTTAGGGTGCAGGAGCGGGCTGGGGGTTACAGTGCAGGGTCTGGACAGGAGTTAGGATGCAAGAGGGGGCTCATGGTTGGGGCGTGGAGCACTTACCTGGAGCAGCTCCTATTTGGTCCGAGGGATGCAGGTGGGAATGTGGGGGGGGGGCACTGCAGGAACTCCCGTTTGTGCTCAGGGTGGGGGCGTGTGGGGGTTGCAGGAGTCAGGGCGTGGAGGGACTGGGTATGTGTGGGGGGTGCGGGAATCAGGGAGGGCAGGGGGCTGGGGATGTGTGAGGGGGGTGCAGGAGTCAGGGCAGGGAGCTGGGGTTGTGGGGGTGCTCCCAGCCCCCTGCCCTGAACTGTTCACGTTGGGGGGGGAAGAGTATGTGTAGGGGGAGTGAGGGGGCCCCACCTTTGCTCTGCCCTTTCCCAAAGGCCTCGCCCCTGCCTCTTCTCCACCTCCTCCCCGAGGCGCTGTGGCCCCACTCCTCCCCCTCCCTCCTGGAGTGACCTGAGCACCGGCAAACAGCTGTTTGGTGGTGGGGGCAGCGCTGAGAGGGAGCGGGAGGGGTGGGAATGCGGCACTCTTAGGGGAGGAGGCAGGGAAGGGGGGAGCTTGGCTGCCGGTAGGTGCGGGCGGAGCCTGCAGCAGGAGCCCCAGGAGCTGGCAGGACCAAGCTTTGCCACCACAGCTGTTTGGCCCTGGGGGCCCCTGTCGTTGGGCCCTGAGCCAGGGCACCCTGTGTTTCACCTCTATTTTGATGGGCAAAATTAATCTTTGGTTTAGAGGGATAAGCACTGGGCTGGGAGCCAGATGATCACAAGTTCAAGTCTTACTTCTTTCATGGACTGGTTTTAATAATTTTCTATTTTCTTCAGTTATTATTGAGCAAGACCTTATATGCCTGTCTTAGGAGTAAGGCAAGTATTATTTCCCCCCATTTTACAGATCATACAACTGAGGATCTGAGTTGCAGAAGGCCACCTCTGACAGGGAATAGTATTTAAGTTGCTACTGTTGTGGAACCAAATCTTATCCATTTAGCTACACTGCGTCTCAGAAAGTTTAGGGTAAAGCTGTATAGTTGGTTTAGCTTTTTCTATAATGGGAGTCCCAGTCTACTCCCTTCACTATCACCCTCAGGTCTGACTCTTGTCCCCTCTGCATTCCAGTCAGGCAGTTTGCACTCCTCCACTTTGCGTAAGAGCCAGCAGCAGGAACAATGAGAGCACAGGAGAGACAGTGTCCCAGCTTTCGATTCCAGTGCCCTGCACCACAGCAGCCGCAATTGCAGGAACAGCAATTGCAGGGAACCTCCTGCTCAGTTTCTACACCCTGGAATGAAGCATGCTCATTAACATGTAGAGTTTAGCTGCCAAACTCTAACCAGACTCTACTGGGCATGTGCAAACTGTGATTTTTTTCAAAGGCTTATAACTTGGTCAAATGACCATATTCCTCTGAAAAACTATGTAAAATAGCACATTCTTGGTGCCATGCTGTCTCTCCTGCAAAATTTTAAGTCAAAATATGGAGGTGCAAGAGCCTCTTAAAAATGCAATTCTAATAATTTTGATAACATATGGAATAAAATATATTTTCCCCTGTCCTTGTTCTTGGAAATGGCTCAGTTCTTTTTGCCGAAACTTTCCAAAAAATTCAGCCTGAGGCAGACAGCTGGCATGGAAAATGTCAGCCCAAAAAGTTAGTTTGGCAGAGTAACAAACAACTAAACAGAGTGTTTTATAATGGAAAGTGTTGGGCAAGCTTAACTAGAGATAGAACTATATGTTCATGATATATGCCTTACCTGTATAATACACTTTATGCACAGTAACTCCAACTGGTATGTTTAATGTAGGTGAGGCCACTGTTTAGAGCTGATTTATTTACCATTTCTTGTTAAGTGTTTCTTTTCTGATTGTTAAAAAGAAATTAAACTTTATTCCTCGAGACTGTCATCTGTTTTCTTTACCAGAATCTGGATGAGTTTGAACTAATTTGCTTGACACTTTATTACCAATTCAAAAAGGCTGCTTTGCAGAAAGTAACTCCAAAGTGTCTCTTTTATATTAAACATAAAAAATAAAACATTTTACATTTTGTGTGTGTGTGTGTGTATGTATATATAAATATAAAATCTACCCACACATATTTATACTATAAGTAAACTTAATCTCGATTGCTTTGCAAAATTTTGTTTCCCAAATGCAAGCAAGTTGCCAATTCTGGATATGAATTAGCATTGTATAGTAGTAAACCAATAGCTCATTTATAAAAGTACAGCTTCTTGATTTGCTGCTCTGTGGTTGAATTTTAATAAGATAAACATCTGCCAGTTGTCTGACAGTTAATGGCAGCATCAAAATCACCGAGTGACTAAGGTGACAAGTTACCTTGACATGTCAGGTTTTTATTGCTGTCCTTGGCATTTAAGGATCATGTATTAAGTGATATTTAATGAAGACTCATTCTATTTGTCAGTTTCGTGACATGATCTGTGTGATGGAAGGAATAATGTCTTGATGTCAACTTAAGATGAGAAGATTGCAGTAGATATTACCTGTCTTAATAGCACAGAAGTAGTTTGAGGATATGTAGGCAAATCAGATTGCATGTTTTATCATCAAGCTGCCAGATGGGGCTTAGGTGAGTTTATGTGAAAATTCATGCATTGTTACTCAGTAACTGATGAGTTCTGTTTGGGGGAAACAATCACTTATGGGGATTTACTACATTCACTCCTCAGAGCAAGTGAATTTCTCTAGTTTGTGTAAAATTCTATTACTGTCATGTTTAACTACTGCGACTTTACAAACGTGTAGCAGTGAACAGCAAATTATTTAAAAAAAACAATATGAAGACATAATTTCAGCTTGAATATTCCTTTAATTTATTCAAAAGTCACTGGAAATTCACAATTTTGCTTCAATAAAATAGTCATATTCTCCATATGCTCAAAAGGCTTCTTCAGATACAGATCAGCATTTTATATTCTCTAGTTCAAGTATATGAACATGCACACCTTATTTGATACACATACAAATTTCTTTCTTAAATATTTCAACAAGAAAATCCTAGTAAGAGTAATATTCACGTCTATAGTGCCTGTCATCACAAAATGTTTTCCAAAAATGGATTAAGTTTCACAACACTCTGGAAGTAGATAGAGATGGGTCTGAGTGCCAAATCCAGCCATGAGTCACTCACATGATTAACTTTACATACATGCATAGCCCCATTGATTTTGCAGGATTGGGGAAGTTTAGGTCCTTCAGAATCAATCTTTGACCCCAAAGTTTGGTAACTTTGAATATGGAGTTTTGCTTCGAACCCTGTAGTCAGTATTTGTACTTCTTAGTTTGGCAGGGTTCATGTCCTGGCCAGTCTCTAGTTGGTATTATTATCTCGATTTCATAGCTGGGAAGACTGAGGCGTACAAAAGATAAAGTGACTTCCTTACGCTCACATAGCAAGGCAGTAGCAGAACTATGAATACAAGCTGGATCTTGTGACTCCGTTTCATGTTTAAATCTCTAATTTATGTTGCGTCTCAATAGTGTTTATAAAATCTGTTTTTTTTCCCCCCTGTACATTTGATATTATATGATAGGCCATAATAGTGAAAGTATGTCAAGAAAAAAATAGTACAGTATAAATTACTGAACAAAAGTATTTTCTTAAATATTGCTGGATTGGCAAAAATATTTTTGCAAATACACCTGAGATCATGTGCAGTGGTATTGGACCATTTTAATATCTAGCATGTTTGCCAGCATTTTACTGTAGTGTCTTTATATTTACTTGATATTGCCTGATCACTTCACATTGCAAAGCCAAATCAAACTTATTCCAGTTAAATGTTTGGTATTAAGATGTCATGGTAGGAAACTATAACTGTGGTTGAAGCTTTATTTGATTTTATATATTGCTGCTTTTATCAATTTGGGGGATTTTTTTTCCAGAAAGGTTCTGAAGGAAATCTCTGTTGGAGACCTCAAGCCCAATGAAACAGTTGAAGCAAATCTAGAAGCACAACTACTCTCCAAGCTAGATCACCCAGCCATTGTCAAGTTTTATGCAAGCTTTGTGGAACGAGAGAGTTTCTGCATCATCACTGAATACTGTGAGGTAAGACTTCTTGTAAATTATTGTGAACAAATTAGAGGCAGTGTGTTTCTCAAAATAGGCCTTTTAGAAGACTTAGTCCATAACATTATTTATTTGCAGTGTCATCTGCTATTTAGTAGGCACATTTAGATGGTCTGTGGAGTTCATAGACTAAGGATAAAATGAGTAGACTGATCAGGGGAAGGGGAATAACAATAGGTAATTTAAATGCAGGCCAGTTTGATTCACTGTAGGCAGCATAACAGAAGGGGGTCTTTAAGAGGAACTTAAATGTGGATAGAGTAGGGCCCTTGTGGATGAGCTCAGGGAGGTTGTACCATGTATAGGGGGCTGTATGGAAAAAGGCATGGAGGTCTGACAAATGGGCAGATGAAGCTGGGAGTGTTGGCAGAGTGGAAGGAATGGGGGAGGATATTATTAAACTTGCTAAGAGCAGATAAATAGAGAGGGGCAGAGTTATGTAGCATTTTGAAGGTGGTGACAAAAAACTTAAATTTGATATGATGTTGGATAGGAAACCAGTGGAGGGATTCAAAGAGGGGAGTTACATGATCAAACCGATAGGAAAGGAATATCAGTTTAGTAGCAGTATTCGCATGGACTGAAAGCAGGGTTTTGTTTGTATCTGGGAGGCTAGTGTGGAGAGGATGCTCTGGTGGTATAAAGCAGGGTATAAAATGGGGACCTGAATGACATTTAACAATTAAGAAAATAAAATTCCATAGAATCAAAAATTAATTCACTCCTTAAAGTAACTTTGTTGATGTTCTTTTATTGTTGGACTGTTCAAGTTTGTTCTGGAAACTATGTAAGTTTTTCAGAGTTGTGAGACAGTGAATAACTATCACTCTGTTAATCCAACATGTGTTACAAAAGGACTCTGGTAAGTTGCAAATAACGCTTGACGGGGCATTTCATTATGGTCAGATACCTGTGGAATTGACACATGAAATTAGGGAAAAGTCAAGTCCAGGGCCTAGATTCTTCCCTGCCTTGGGGCTACTTTTTACTGTGCTGCTGTTGCAAAGTAGCCCTAAAGCCAGAGTAACTAACCCCACACATCACACCAAAATAGGGGCTCTCCCTTCCTCTAATGCTGTAGAGCCTGCATAATGGCTCCTATACCCAAGTGGGTATAGAGAGAATGGCTGAGGAAAATGGGCATGGCAGGGACCCCCCTGCTCCCAGGCACTCACAGCTGCCGTAACATGCCTTTCAGGTTATATGTAACCTGGGCAAGTAAAAGCAGCCTTCAGGCTGCTCTAATGTGCACTAGAAAACCAGAAAATGTACTTCTGTACTGTATGTACTTAGTAATGGCATACAGAGCTTTTCACCTAAAATTTGTCTGTTTAAATCCTGACCAAATTAATGGTGAGCAAAATGTGCTGCCACTTGATGGGTGTTTGGAAGCTTACTGTGTTCTATGTCCAGTTTCTAATGCACAGGACTACTTCCACAATTGGCAGTAATTGGTACCCTAGCTGGCAGTATAAGAAGAAAGACCAAGCATTAAGTTAGCATGGGAAAACGTTCTATTTCCTCCAAACTACTGTGGCTTTGAATCTTGCTGATGGAACAGTGCAGGGCAAGCCTCCTATGCAGCTGCCTGATGCTGTGCCAGTTCTATGAATAACAGTCTGGCACTTTTCATCAGTGCTAACCGACACTCGCAGTTATAGAAGAGAAGTGTGTGTGTGTGTTTTTGTGGACTTCTTTGGTGGGTGATCCATTTCAAATATTGTAAGGCAATATAAAAACAGTCATGTCAATCTGATTTCAAACAAAAGTACCTAGATGAACCTCTTATTCTATTTTGTGGCCTAGAACTGGACATCAGTGAAAGATAATTCTTAAAAACAATAATGGATTAATTCCCCTAAATGACATGATTTTTTAAATACAACAACAAAATGTAACACAAGTCATTACATTCTCAAAATAAAAATAACTTCTCATTTCCTTTCTTCAGTGCAGTTTCAGTTCAGCCTGAAATAAATATTCTCTAAGGAACATCAGCAACTGTAGTCACGAATGCTTGTTCACGTTATCAATCATAAAAGCCAAAAAAGCAAATTCCGTTTCAAAATAGTTATTACTGCATGTTATACAATATTCATGAAATTTAAATGTCTGAAGTAGCTAGACATCTTCCTTGTCCTTCACTTTATTTCCTTCTCTCCTGAACATGAATATACTGACCTTCCCAAACACAAAATAGGAAGAGTGAACTTCTTCAGGGCTTCCTGGCAACAACATTTCAGAATTGTTTTTCTTGAGCAGTTTTTCCTAAGGTACTTACCTTTTCCACAGAATCAAGCTTAGAACAATTTGTAGGTCATTGGCTCCAATCTTTTAAGGGTGAGGGCTGAACTTTATTTCAAAATGGTTGAGGGCCACTCCCTATGCATTGCTCAGACCACACAAAGAGTAGAAACCACCCACAAGCTTCTTGCCTGGAGTCCCCCAACATGGATGAGTACCCAATAGGTATAGAACTCCACAGCTTCTATGCTTTCCCTGGTGTAGGGACATATTGGTGGGAAGAGTTATGTTAGGACAGGGAGGAGAAGTGGCTGGAGCATGGTCCACTGTGGTAATCTCCATCAGGTGTGTGGACCTTTTAGGACCATAACCAGCTGGTACAAGTTAGAGCAGGCACTTTGGAGTGGGGTAGGGAATCAAGGAGCTGTCACTGGTTATGAGTTTCTTTTCTTTTCTCCCTCTTCTGGACTGGTCTGGGTGGCTCCATGAGATAGTTCACCTATCCTTTTCTAGGTACATCACTAAGCTCAGGCAGAGCCCATCTAGCTACCGTGTGGAGAAACAGGTAACTGAGAAACTAGTACTTCTATCTCTTACCTCCCCAGCTAGATAGCAGGTGCCACCAGGAAGTTGCTGAGCAGTTGGAACAGAATAGGGACAGCAGGTGTTCAGTGCCCCTCACAGCAGAGCTGCTTTGGGGGCTACAGGGGAGGCAGGGATCCTACCTCCCCATGTTGTGAATGAGTTGACTCACATCAGTTTTAAAACTGCAGGGCATAGTTAGGGGACTTATTTTCAATTCCTAATCCAATGCAAATATTCTTGCAGGCCACAATTTAGAACCTCAAGGACTACAAGTTTGGACACTACTGTTGTAGGCTAAATCACTCCCATCCCCGGGGAAGCTTGTGGAAGCTGGGTTGAAGTGATACAAAAGGAGGGTGATCTGCGTGGCCTGGAGTAATTGTGGCTGCAGCATCAAGCTTTGGGGGCTTGGGAAAAACAAGGAATACTGGAGAGAACCTCAGGATTTTGACAAGAATGCCAAGCATACTGGGAGGGAAAGGTTTGGAGAGGAGAAATTGCATAATTTGAGATAATCTGACTTGTAACTTTCTATTATTTATATTTTTAATCACCACTGTGGAATAAGAATGAAGCACTGTCTATTTTCCTTTAGTATCTCATTGTAATCTCCACCCGATACTTGCAATTAAAGTAGGTATGGTGTAGGCAAAGATCTATGTATCTTATAAATTGATTGCAAAGATGTAATTGGTCAGTGACGTAGAATTATATGAACAGAAGGAATTTGTGACAATTATCCCTGGTTAAAATGGACAAGCCCTAATTTTTTACCAAAGCTATTTTTCCAGACTAGTTGAATGAGAAATGTAAATACTGAAATTTTGAATAATAGAAGATTTGGGTTGGAAGAAACCTCAGGAGGTCATCTAGTCCAACCTCCTGCTCAAAGCAGGATCAACTCCAACTACATCATCCCAGCCAGGGCTTTGTCAAGCCGGGCCTTAAAAACCTCTCAGAATGGAGATTCGACCACCTCCCTAGTTAACCCATTCCAGTGCTTCACCACCCTCCTAGTGAAATAGTTTTTCCTAATATCCAACCTAGACCTCCCACACTGCAACTGGAGACCAGTGCTCCTTGTTCTATCATTTGCCACCATTGAGAACAGCCGAGCTCCATCCTCTTTGGAACCCTCCTTCAGGTAGTTGAAGGCTGCTATCAAATCCCCCCCTCACTCTTCCCTTCTGCAGACTAAATAAGCCCAGTTACCTCAGCCTCTCCTCCGTAGGCGCTAACTCCGTAGGTGCTCCGGGTCTGGCCCACCCACAGGGAAAAAATGGTGGGAGCTGAACACACATAGGGGGGCAGCCAATTAGCTGATCCTCACCCCCCCCCCCAGTGCCTCCTGCCCGTTGGCAGGCCATGTGGATCAGAGCCTCCCGTCCACCACGATCAGCTGTTTCGCAGCATGCAGGAGGCTTGGGGGAGGGAGTGAGGAGGCGGTGCGCCTGGGGGAGGTGGCAGAACTGGTCAGGAAGAGGTGGGGCAGAGATGGAGTGAGGGCCTGAAGAGGCAGGGTGGGGATGGGGCCTTGGGGAACGGGTGGAGTGGGAGCAGAACCTGGGGCAGAGCCAGGGTCGAGCACCCTCTGGCACTTTGGAAAGTCAGCGCCTGTGCTCTCCTCATAAGTTATGTGCCCCAGCTTCCTCCGCTGGACTCTCTCCAATTTGTCCACATCCTTTCTGTAGAGGGGGCCCAAAATTGGATGCAATACTCCAGCTGTGGCCTCCCCAATGCCGAATAGAGGGGAATAATTACTTCCCTCAATCTGCTGGCAATGCTCCTAGTAATGCAGACCAATATGCTGTTAGCGTTCTTGGCAGCAAGGGCATGCTGTTGATTCATATCCACCTTCTCATCCATTGTAATGCCCAGGTCCTTTTCTGAAGAACTGCTGCTTAACCAGTCGGTCCCCAGCCTGTAGCAGTGCATGGGATTCTTCCATCCTAAGTGCAGGACTCTGCACTTGTCCTTGTTGAACCTGGATGAACCACATCAGATTTCTTTTGGCCCAATCCTCCAATTTGTCTAGGTCACTCTGGACTTTATCCCTACTCTCCAGCATATCTACCTGTCCCCCCAGCTTAGTGTCATCTGCGAACTTGCTGAGGGTGCAATCATCCAGATCATTAATGAAGATGTTGGAC